CGTCACCAGCCGGTGAGCACTTACGAGCTTGGAGACCACACGTGCAGAAGGCCTCACAGGAGCGTGACGTGGGTGTACTGGTACAAGAAGACCTTGGGTGATCAAAACAAGCAGAGAAGGCGACGAGAACCGGCAATCAACACTTTGGCCTTCTTCGCAGAGCGTTCGGTCGGTTTGAACCTTCAATGTTTCCCGAAGTGCTTGACACCTACATGCGACCGCACGTGGAATATGCTATCCACGCGTGGTAGCCCTGGCAAAAACCGGATCTCGTTGCTCTCGAGCCTCCTCAACGAAGGGTAACCAAGAACGTCAGGTACCTCCTTCACCTGCCCTATCAGGTTCTACTGAAATCTTTAAGAATATGCTTGGCTGCACCCGGTTTCGGATTTGCCTGTCACTGTGACCAGCCACAGGACGCCTGCGCCTACAGAGGGACCATGGATGGCTTGCGCTGCACCACCAACAGCTCCATCCACACACACCCCATATCCAGTGTAAACCCGAAGGAATAAGACCGGGAGGCATGTGGATGTGAGCGACGTTTCATCAACGGAGCCGGCCTACACTCCTTCACAGGCAAAAACGAGCACGCTGTATTTGGGGAATCAAGCGCACACAAGGCGGTGGCTGGACCGTAGTCCACTCCACACTGAGTGCATGGAACCACTCATCGAGCTTAACATGGACACAAGGACCGTGTACCCTGTCCCCTCCAGCAACGAGCAATTGCCTCCTGGAGCCAGTATGGACGAGGTAGTGGGTAATAGACAGGTAAGCACCTTGTCAACATGCACATCAAGCGCAGCCACACCGGGGATTTTAAACAACAGCCAATCACTCAAAATGCCAATATCGAATAAAGTAACGCATATGATGACATAAATACTCGCAAAATGAGCATATAGGAGAAATTGGTTAAAAGTGAATCCGTGATAAGTACAAAATGTCCGAGTTATTTAAAAACATACCACGCGATACAATTACGCAAGTTTACCACAATTTGCATGAGCGACGTGTGCAAGTCGGGAGAAGATTATCAAGTACGCAGAACAAACCAAATAAAATGTAACAAATTTTATCCACATTAAAAAGACCTAGTTTAAGTGTAAGTTGGTTTAGCCCAACTGCGGTGAAGAAGCATCATGAATGCAACATCAGCCTCAGCATGTGGAAGTTTAAGAATATACAGCAGTCGATATACGCATTTGCGGATGACCTCATAATGGTTTACCAGATTCTGAAGAACTCAAACCACATTTGCTGTCCTCTGCTGTAATTGAACCACAACACTAACCTAAGAGGTCATCCTCCGCAATTAAACATACAGTATAGCCAGCTTGAATGCTTTAGAAAGTTCTTTTCCCTCCTCGTGTGCCAGCCTTTGAACGCCCTCCCTAATTATACCCTTCGCTGCTCCCAATCTGGTGATATCTAAAAAATGAGCTAGCGATGCGTTGTCTCATGTGTATTTCATTTTATGACGGTAACATGGCTACAAAAAGCAATCAAACGATGACTTACCAAACTCCCAACAATGAATTGATACTTTTATTACGCGAACATCTCCGCTATTCTACATAAGTCTATGGTGAGTCAACCAAAACACTTTTCACTTTATCATGCAATTTAATCGTCGCAATAATTTCCACCCCACGGGACTTGTTAAGCAATGCTTTTTTAACCGTAGTACACCATTGTTCCGTTGTTCCATATGTAAAACCGGCATTGTTAGCATGTATCGTTGGCCCTCTTAATCACTCGGAACCACCAATCTAAACCGTTCTCGGGATCAGATCTAAGTCAGATATTTGACTCCTAAGATGTATGGTGTCATCTGGAATCCACAAAAGTACGCTCAACAATTTATATGGAAATATCCCTTCAAATGCCGTAGTTAAACGCAGAGCTTTGATATAGTACCGCTCACTATCCAAACACTTACACGTTACTATCATGAACAGGGCAGGGTGTCCCCCTCAACAAGCGACGTATGTACTAAACTTAAACCGCCAATTAACTTATGGCATTATAAGCAATCTGGTCTTCACAGTGACCAAAAGAGAGTAGTAGGGGGAGTTGAATATCATAAGTAGAAGTTCATCACATCTAGAAGACCCCTTCAGACAACAGTCAACGTTAGTAACGTGCAACTCAGTCGATAGTGAGAGACGCTATTTCGCATCTAGTAACCTGGTCAGAGCGGTCGTTACCGTCTCCCATAGCCCAGTGTTCTTCACCACTGATTGATAACAGTCGGTTTGATGGTTCTTGCCTCACAGGGGCCAAATGAAATGCGCAATGTGGACGTATTCACTTCTTCTTCCCTAGCCTTGGAGGCCCAGATTCTCAACTGAATGAGTAAGGCTTGTCAGTTGACACATGTTCGTTACTCGTCAGAATATGCTTATACTTGTGAAAGTGGACACTTGGACCATCTCTTAACCCAAGCACTTTCTGCAAGTCATGCTTAACTGACCTGTAATACACGGAAGTGTTTTTCTTTCTGTCTTCAATCTGCAGTGGATGGAACTCTGATTTGAAAAGACGATTCCCATAATTTTACTTATGGTATGAGGAACTTTCTGTTATGGATGAGGAAATGTTGCATGTCCAAGGTCTTAATTGAGTTGCGGCAGATGTGGCGATTATATGGTTACGCGATACTTTGTTCTCCTGTTTTACAGTGCATTCGCACCCTGCATATTTTCCACTTTATTTCCTATGGATCCCGTATGTCTTTTTGATTCCTTAGCACTTTATTGTCGAAGCCAGCTACGGATCTGAGCCTTGCTCATTACAAGTACAATTAATCCAGATAATGCCACATAATATTAGAGTATTTCTGACGTCTAGCAGTAATCAGTGAACACTCGGATAAACCTATTAGGTGTATAGCTTATGCTTACTGCCGTCATTAGCATTAAGACAATAGCATTTTGCCGATCGATACCCCCGCATTACGTAGACTGCTTGCTTTATAGGCTGTGCACAAAAATTACTCTGTTTTCTTATCCACATACCACTTCACCTGCATGTATTATCGAGTTGTGGTGAATGCATTTGTCATGGTAAAGAAATAATGTAGAACTGAGACTTCCATCGGTAAATACAGACGAGTGCATGGATTCTGGTATCAGAAGGTCTGACGAATAAGTCAAGAACTCGACGACGGTCAATGGAGACAATTGCATCGAAAGTTCTATAATCCATAGAAAAGATGCAATAGGTTCAGTACGATCATTGCTCTCCCCCTCCATCTCTTCCTCTCACCGAACTGTATCACACGTTGTCTTCAATGATGAAAGATGATGAGAAAATGCGGCAGAAAGGAAAATATAACAGCGATACTAGAAACCCAGTTCAGTATTTCCGGAAGGGAAAGTCTGTTTCAAGTGTCGATGGCCATGATACTTTAAAATGATTTGATGTTATTACCAAATTAAGTCCCAATTTGGCCCATGGTACAGCTTTCTGTATTCCCAATTTAAACGCACACGTAAATTTGTAAAACATTAAACTTATCCGGAAATAAGACAACACACACTGCGCAACAAAAATAACTGTTTAGTGTCAAACAGAATATAAACAAATATAGAACATTTAAGCTAGCTTTGACCTGAATGGACGGCAAATCTAAATTGCACCACACGGTGTGTGGGGTATGATGGTCCGAAAGAGCACAGGAACTGGTAGGTAAACCAGTGTCAGGGAAGGATTCACGTCTCTGAAGAGTAATTTTGTATGGTCATAAACTACAACTTGCTCACTAACGCAACTGCACCATTAAGGGATCTATCGAAGAGGCCCTCGTTTGGATGTGTTTGATACGCCGCCTGAGCAGAATGCTTGGGATCATTGTCAGTGGGTATGATATGCCAACCGACATCACCATAAACTAAGCTATGAAACAGTTTCAAGTAGCAGATTCGTAATCGATGATTAGGTATACAGAAGAAATCCACATTGCTTTTTATTTTCGTTGTTATTATTATCTCGTCTGATCAAATCAAAACTGTATCATATCGCCAAGTTCGGAAACGATTTGTATCCTGGGTCAAAAGTTCAACTGCAAAATGACCTGGTTTTAAATGTACACAGTGAATTGCCCGAAAGTGCTATTGTCTGAAGAGCACTCCACATAACCCTCTGTAGAAGTAGCACCGGTAGTGATGAATAATGTTTACCACAAAATCGACTTCCGCTACGATGACGGTCGGGCATCTATTTGGCGAGTTTTAAACGAAACACTTTCCCGTATCTCACCTTCAGATGATGTCAGTGATAATTTTGTAGTTGTACGTTGTTCCGTGATTCATTACAACCTACGACTATTAGTTACAATTAGCGTCAAAGCATCACAGGTGAACACCCGCAGTTTTACGTGTTACTGCAGTAACAAACAAGACATTGTACCGTCGAAGTCATTTTAGTTGTTAAGTTCCAACTAACACAATGTTGGTTTGCCATCACCATTGGCCGCGAAGTCCAATGATGATAGTGATAAATATTGGTTTGGTACCTCAAGGTTTGGTGCAGTGAAGTGTCATTTGCTTGAGTATGGTTGAAGCACGATCGAAAATGTTACGAGGTCATTTGCCAGTTAAACTAGGTGGATGCTCGTATATATATTCACCGATTGGCTTCAAAGCACAAATGACAGTATGGATGTGGCATGATCTGTTTGCTCGTAGCTGAAGCGTCAGCGTAGGCTGAAAAGTACATCATTAATTTTGTAGTAGTAGTTTACAAGAGCACAAATAGTGACCTTTTGACGTTCAGTTGTGGGACCGGGAGGACGCAAAAGATCCTGTCCGGCTTAGGAGACATGGTGGCATACAAACTGACTATAACGAATAAGAGAGCGAAGTTACAGGGAGGTTGACATATGTATAAGAGAGTAAATGCTTCTCTGTCAATGTAACATTATTGCAGTCATTATCAGTAATGAATAGTTGATATAACATAGTTGCCATGTGGCTGTTAGTAATAGCGTCACTTCAGCTGGGCTGGCGTTTCTGTGGAAGTGAATGAGTTTTAGTAGAGTGAACACAGGCAACAGACTTACCTTTGCTACGGCGGAGCTCTTGCTAGCCAAACTTTCCTGTTCTCTTAGAAGTGTGCAACGTTGAATCTTAAGTGTCTCTATATTTTCATGAAGTGCCTTGTTTTCTTTTGTCATCGCGTCGACTTCGTTGACAAATTTAGTTAAACAGCTTTCAGTAGACACATTATCGGCTAAAATTCTTTTGTAGGTAGGTTGCGTGCGTCGAAAGGACAATTCACGGGAAACAGAGGCCGCCTGAAATTGCAAATATAGTTTGAGTCCGAATACATCAAAGCTCTATAAAATAAAAGGCCAAATCCATTGATTTATAATGAGGTTGCACAATATAGATGGTTGCATTGACTACATTTAATTTGGGATACACGCCTTTAACTATAGAGTTTGCTGACCATTTCGTTGGACTTTGCCTCGCACCGCCGAGGAATATATCATTTATTTATTTAATTCCGATGGCATATAATTCTGATTCTGTATGAGACTAGAAGGTTTTATGAAAGTGATTTAGCCTTCTTGGTGTCGGTTAAAGTCGGTAAGCTAGATGACAGTAAGGTGGTGAATCGATCTAGGTGGCGAAATTACCGATCCTCATAACAGGTTGTGGAAAAAATGAATCAGCCCCACATGCCTTGACTACAATGAAGTGGCGAAGTGGAAACTGCTTTAACACTTAAGCGTGATCCACCATAAGTAGACAACCGAAAACTGGTTTTGGGATGACCGGTTGAGTGCGACCACTTTCTCAGCTCGGCGGCCGAGCTGTGGCCATGTTGTCTATAGCTATATGGAGATTGTAGGCTTAATTGGACAACCTGTGCACATAGCTGTTGCGCATTATTGCCTACGTTAGCCTAAGGCCTATGTTTGCTAACTTCTCTGAACATTGCTGGGCAATGTTGGTTGTGTTGCTATTCGCACGTCACGCGCTTGAGGCGCCTATATAATTCTCTCCCAAGACTTTAAGTTGGGGACTTTAAGTTGGCCGTAGTGGCACGCCGTCTTAAGTATTTTCGAAAGACCGTCGAACTGTGTGATATTCAAGTCACGCGTTCCTCTTCTATGATCTCAAGCTGTTCCTGGAGCAGCTTCAATGTGTTATTTATTCTGTTCGTTAGCTGTAGCGCTGGATGGTTTTCAATGCAGCTGTAGGCCGTCGTGTCGTTCAGAAGCTGATTCGCTGCCTCAACATAATGTCTTATCCATTAAGGTTACCATATGCCTCTTGTCAGCAGGTAGAATAGGAATGGTATCGTCTGCTTTCAAGGTCTTTATTGAATTCTTCCTTCACCGAGATAGGGTTCGTGCAGTCTGTCGCGGGTTATGGACATTACCCACATCCAGTTTATCATGTATACGGAGATGGATGACAAGCCTGCATTGCTGGACGTGTTAGTCATCAGCACGACAGGCGAAGAGCTGTAAACATCCGTTTGAAGGAATGGTGCACAGAAAGGGAGAAAGCCTGAAATATTAGGGCAAAAACCGTAATTATCACAAAATAAGATGCATGCGACCTCTCTACCGCAGAAATGAAATCTATTGAAACACTGTGAAGGCAAGATAGAAAGTGAATAAGAACCTACTAAAATTCATTCCACTGAATAATAATCGACTTAGTTTTGTCCAGGAATGCCCGAACCACAAAGTTTTGAACTCCAAACCTACGAGAGCGACAGGGAAACGAAGCCTTTGCCACTATCGGAGGAGCAAATCTGGGATGACGATCAGATAACTCACATAACACGGAGTTACAGAAGCTGACAAGCCAACTACCACTCTGAGGGAGAATGTCAATACTCAGAAGTCAACAATTCCACGAATGACGAAATGTTGTGTTGAAAATACAATATCAATACTGCAACAAGAATAATATGGATCAAACGGAAAGGAAATTGTGAAAAATACAAGAGCGACAAAGAGCGTGCAAGAAGCATTTCGCTCCATCTTTGGTTTTGGCGCACATGGAGAAAGGACATAACTTTGATTGGATTCAAACAGCAGTCATAATATACGGGAAAACGAAACAGCTTTATAAACATGGCATTCCATGAAGAATTCCATAAATATGTAAATTGATCTCGATCAAGTGCTAGAAACGATCTGTCAGAAACTAATCAAACCGTTAGAAAATCGCAATGTACAGTCAAACAAACCAACAGCCCAAGTGAAGCACATCCGTCAGATCACCAAACCATCGCATTTATAGGTTGGCTGCTAGCCATCCAACTTCGCAGCAACAAATCCACAACCTGTACCACCTGCACAAATGTGACGTGCGTGCTCCTGGCTCATTTCGATTACTCCCCTCCTTCCATCTTCTCGCAGCATTGTCATTGTACGCTCATTCGAGCCGGATTTACCAGCCCTACACAGTGATCCATCATAGATGGAAATACCTTCTACGTGGTTAAGCGTAATCGTTTAACAATCACATTAAACCGATTGCTTTTCTGTGTGACAACATTCGATACGGAATTCTCGAGGCAAATCGAAAAGCCTAAACTTATTCCGATCCAGTGTTTCTCAACATAGTTGTGAAAGAATTTGTGGTCTGTCAATCTGTGTTCAGCGCTCTGTTCAGGTTCCAGTCACTCGCCATTCCTTGTGACCTTGTCAGCCAGTGCGTCTGCATAACCCATCACACGGACCGCGTGACCACGCCGACCGCTCATTTGACCTTGCAACCACCACGCTCACCTGACCCATGTGCGCCACTCTTAAAGCTGTAAAGTACAGAACGTTAACCAACCCACTTGGTCAGGTAACGACAGCAAATTGAACAGCAGAAATGCGAAACCGAAGAGGCTCCAAGCGAAAGGCATTTGTGTGTTAGGGAGAATGTCATCGAGTAGTAAAACTCGGTCTGGCTTGCTCGCACTGTTTGGAATGGTATCATACGAAATGTGCAAATGTGTCCCAACAACAGGTACGAGAGCGAAATAGCTCCCAAGATGCATTTTGCTTCTGTACTGCGTGTTCCACCATCCCCCTCGTTAAGTGCTTGCTTATCCTAGCTCAGAAATGCGACCGGTTAACCGCAGAAGCAGAGCAGAGGATAAACAATAAGATTACTTCAATGGAAGCGAGTATGCACCACAGAAGCGTAGCGGCTTCTGAGCAACGGAATGCTGAACAATCCGCTTCCCTGAACCGCAATCAGCCACGTCTCCATCTCCGTTGTCTTCTCCAACTTTGGTAGAACGCCGGGCGAAAACAGACCGTAGCTACGAGAGTCAAACAGTACTCACGGCAACGAAAATCAGGCACCACTCAAAACGTCTGATTAAGCAAATTCCACTAGACCTGACATCTAGCATTAACAAGGATGAAGCAGCCGAACACCAACCCTTGGTACCTGTAGCTCAAATATCTCTTGTCGAGACTAAGCCACCCAGAACATCGGTTACCTATGCAGAGATTGCTGCAAAGGTCCACCGAGAGGCCGCCGTTGCGTTCTCTTCCATTGTAAACATCGATAACGCGAATAGAGGGAAAAACAGCAAACAATCAACATTTGTCAGTAGGTCAGGACAAACTGAGTACCATACCTTGTAGATCAACGAAAAAGGGATCCAACAACAGTGCCCGGACTGTTGTATGCTCAAATGTCCCTGAATCTACCGCCATCACATTGCGGGATAAGTTATCAGACGACCAAGACCAATGGAACTCATTGTGCATGCAGATGAGTATCAAAGCCAAGCCCATAAACTTGTTACGAATTACTCGTCATCCGAACTCGCCACACTATGGTGAACCCAGACTTATTCGAGTAAAACTAGAATCCTCCACCGACGTAGAAAAGTTTTGCTCTCCGCAAGCGCGCTAAAACACGGATCCTGTGGGATACGTATCTATCCTGATGTCCCTTGGAGCGCGCGACAATCAAAAAGAAACACCGAAGAGGGGCACAGCAAGCAAGACCGCCTAAACGCAATCTTCATACATGGCGTGCCAGAACATCCTTCTAACGATGTTCAAGAGACCGGAAAGCACGATTTAGAACAGTGGCGGTTCATTCGTGAAACACTTCCTTTGGATAATATTGTGGCACTATCGCTCACCAGGATACCTCTCACACCAAATTATAGAGGATGCGGCCCTAGAATCCTAAAACTTGTGGTTCAGTCAGAGCAACAAGCAAAGGATGTTTTAGATCGATGGCGGAGAAATCGGAAACATCTTCCTTCTGAAATTCGGTTAAAGGTTGCAAACGCTTTGCACAGCTCAAATATTAAAGCAACTGAAGAAGCAAGCATACCGACGAATGTACAGAAGCGTAACTTGACTGCTGCTTTAATTGACTCTGACGTAGGTCTAAACGAAGGTTGGGACGCACCTTGGCCGAATCAATTTGCAAACGAGGTATCATTATCCCATCAAAAAGACGAGTAACTGCCGACCTCCCATCGGTCGGCATTCTCCCACAAAAGACCCCTTCACCCCTTTGTGGGCTCCTAGAGACCGAGTAACTGGCCTGCTTGTATACGAATGCTCAGGGACTTTCTAAGAAACTTGCCGAACTGAAACATCGCCAAGCTTCCGGGTTTTATGATATCATTGGTATCTCCGAGACGTGGTTGCACACGGGTATAAAGGACGCTGAAGTTTCGCTACCGGACATGTCGCTTACCCGGAACGACAGGCTCACCAAAGGAAAAGGAGTAATCCTGTATTGCCGAAACGACTTACAGTGTGAAGCGCTGGAGGATTCAGACTCGCAGTTCCCCGACTCTCTTCGGTGCCGGTTGCAGTTAAAAGGCAAGGACGCTTGCTTTATTGTCTTGGTGGACCGCACCCCTAAATCTACACCCAAAAAGGACTACCACCTAGCGGTTCCTTTAAGATGCAGTTTACAACAATGTACACTTACATATTTATAATGGGTGATTTCAACTTAGGTTGTTTAGAAACTCCCGCCACGATCGGAGAACCATTCAAAGCCGATCTACAGGATCTCGTAACCTCTGTTCCCCAATTGTTCATTTGTTCTCCGAGCTTGGCGGTTTTCTCGCAAACGTTTCACCACCATGCGAGGTGGCATCCTCAGTGCACTGAGGATGCCACCTCGCATGGTGGTGAAACGTTTGCGAGAAAACCGCCAAGCTCGGAGAACAAATGAACAATTGATTCATCAACCCGAGCTACCGGTATTTCGAATCATTTTAAACCTCTGTTCCTCTTTAGAATCACATCACTTTACCCACTCGGTTCAAAACAGGTAACAGGCCATCTGT